ACAGTAAAAAGTATAATTAAATACTGATAAATAATAAAAATAGCTTACCATCTATTATATTATTAATCATTAATTATTTTTTTAAATAAAAAATTTAGTGAGTTTAAATTACAGTAAAAAGTATAATTAAATAATAATCAATAAAATTAACTTACTTCCTTTAGTAAATTTTAAATAAAAAATTTAGTTGAGTTTATATTACTTATATTACAATAAAAAGTATAATTAAGTACTGATAATCAATAAAAATAATTTACAATCTAAAATTTTAAATTATTTTTTTAAATAAAAAAATTTATTTAAATTTAAATTATAATAAAAAGTATTATTAAATAAATATTATTAATCAATAAAAATAACTTACCAACTAATAATAATATATTTTTAAATAAAAAATTCAGTTGAATTTAAATTACAATAAAAAGTATAATTAAATACTGATAATTAATAAAAATAATTTACCATCTATTATATGCTAAAATAACTTACATCCTTTAGTAATTTTTTGATTTTTTAAATAAAAAATCTAGTTGGGTTTAAATTACAGTAAAAAGTATAATTAAATACTAATAACAAATAAAAATAGCTTACCATCTATTATATTATTAATCATTAATTATTTTTTTAAATTAAAAATTTAGTTGAATTTACATTATAGTAAAAAGTATAATTAAATAGTGATAATCAATAAAATAACTTACCAACTATTATATGATTAATCATTAATTTTTTTTTTAAATAAAAAATTTAATTAAGTTTAAATATAGTAAAAAGTATAATTAAATACTAATAATCAATAAAAATAACTTACTCCCTTTAGTAATATATTTGAATTTAAATAAAAAATTTAATTGGGTTTAAATTAAAGTAAAAAGTATAATAAATACTGATAATTAATAAAAATAACTTACAATCTAAAATTTTAAATTATTTTTTTAAATAAAAAATTTAGTTGAATTTAAATTACAGAAAATGTATAATTAAATACTAATAACCAATAAAAATCATTTACCATCTATTTTTTTAAATATTAAGTTTAAATTACAGTAAAAAGTATAATTAAAATACTGTCAATCAATAAAAATAACTTACAATCTAAAATTTTAAATAATTTTTTAAATAAAGTTAAGTTTGAAATACAGTAAAAAGTATATTAAAATAATTACTTTCTGTAATTTATAATAATTACTATTATTTTTTAAAATAAAATAATATTAAAATTAATTAAATTAACTTACGATCTATAATATTTTAAGAAATTTTAGTAAAATTTAAATTTTTATAAAATTATAATTAAATATACAAAAAAAAAAATAGCTTACCAACTAAAATGCAATGTAAAAAAAAATTTTAAAATAAATTAAATATGCAATATAAAAAAAATTGAAAACTTACTCCCTACATATATTAGATATTGTTTAATTAATATATAATAAGTTAAGATATATAAAAAAATTAAATAGCTTACAAGCTATTACATTAATATAAAAAAAAAAATTTAATTAATAAAGAATTATTGGCAAATACATTAATGTTCTTAATGTTCATTACAATGATATAAATTCATTACCATAAAAATCTTTGCTGAAAATTTGATATTTTTATTAATTAGAACAGAATTATTTAAATTTGATCCTTAACATAAACTAACTTTATACTAAACTTTTTAACTACTTCACAAGCATTTAACGTCCATGAATCGTTTGGTTTGATTTCTAGTAATTTGTTTAAATCTGCAAGTGATTTCTCATATTTTCTCATTATAAAAAAAGTTTCTCCTCGATATCTTAATGCAAATGTATTATTTGCCTCAAACTCTAGCAACCTTATCAAATCTGAAAGTGCTAGTTCATATTCACTTATATCAAAATAAAACTTTCCTCGGTATTTTAGTATTTGTTCAGCATCTGATGATTGTTTTAAATCTGCAAATCTATTTATCTGTTGACTTATTAATTTATCATTATATTGATTAAGAATTTTGGCCCAATTCTCCTTTAAAGATTCATCAATATCATCATCATTCATCACTAAAAAATAAATTATTATTAATAAAGTAAAGAAAAAAGAAAATAAATAAATATACCTGTATATTTGAACTTTCTATAGCCAAAGTTTGTTCCTACAGATCCACCTGACGACAATATTCCAATACAAGGATACAAAGAGTTTTTCGATTTTCGGAATGCAATTTCTTAAAATATACAAGAGATATTAAGTCTCTATTATTTAACATAAAATAACCAAGCATTTGTAATATACTACCTAGATTCACTCCATTTTTTGTATAAAATAGAGTACTATTTCTGATGTTTAAACAACATCCTATAGTATCACCGGTCATAAATTCTGTTCCATATGGTTCCCATAATTTTTAAAATACGAGTTTCCATCATCGCCATGATAACCCCACGAGCTATTTTCCCAGCCTACAATATAAATAATTCAATAAATAATTTATTTTAACAAATTAAGCTGATAAAAAGAAGTGTAAAATTACCTGGCATTTTATTTAGGCTAGCTGATTTTGTGCAAAATCCGATTCCAATCTCCCTATAGAATTTGAAAAATTGAATTATAAACAAATTTTAAATAATAATAATCAACTTATATATGAATCCAAAGTTATACAAAGTACCCATTTTCCCCTTTATCTATAATGTCAACTTCAAAATAAAATAATCCACATTGTTCAGGAATTGGAAAAT